GTCGTATCCTCATACATGGCAAACCATCGTAACCATGCCTACTGAAATTGTTATAGTAAGCATGCCATAAGATGTCAACCAAGTGGGGCTGTAGGTGCAATCGTCGTCATAGAAAAAACTCAACGGAATGTGTGAAGATGATAGACTAGGAAAATATCCTTTCCGGCTCCCAAGTGAATAGTCGACCGGAAATCTCCACTCTAGGTCAGCGAACTGCAGATGACGAAGAGCATCTGCAGGCGAACCTAAACCGACTCCAACAGTGGTCAAAGACCTGGCTTCTGCCGTTCAACGAGAAAAAGTGCAATATCCTACGAGTCGGCAGAGCTCGCTCTCCGAACCATATGGCCTACTGCCTAAACGGTATACCACTGCAAGAAGTGGACTCGCAGAAGGACTTGGGAGTATGGATTACGACCTCGCTCAAACCCTCGCTTCACTGCACGAAGATAGCCAAGTCTGCAATGTCAGTCCTCTACCTTGTCAAGCGGGCTTTCTCTGCCTTTGATGAAGACTGCTTCGCTAAAGTCTTTCGAACTTTTGTGCGTCCGCAACTAGAATTTGCTATCCAAGCTTGGAGACCCTGGACCGCGAAGGACCTCAGCATCCTTGAAAGGGTTCAAAGGCGTGCAACGAAACTTGTGGTAGGGCAGGGTTCACTACCATATGCAACGCGGTTAGCTAACATTGATCTCTTTCCCTTGAGTTACAGGCAGTTACGGGATGACCTGATACAAGCCTTCCGTATCATACGCGGTCAGGACTGCAGCCTAGTACTGGGGGACTTCTTCGAGTTAGCAACCACCACAAATCTACGAGGCCATCCATTCAAACTACGTGTGACAGGCGCCAGACTGGACACACGAAAGTTCTTCTTCTCCAACAGAGTGCTAGAAGCCTGGAATGCCCTGCCTGTGGATGTCGTTATGTCGGCTTCCGTCGAGGTCTTTAAGAGGAAGCTGGATTTGTGTAGCAGTGTCCACTACATTACCACCCGATCCTCTGTATGGAGGAGAAGGGCAAGACTATGTAAATGGCTGGATCACACGATCAACTCCGCAGTGTAGTGGTAAGGTTCGACGACGGTTTAAACCCCATTCTTACTGTCTCCTGCTGTACGATCATAATCGGGTTTGACGAGCTCTCGTTCCAACCTGGACTCGCACACCTAGTCCACTTCCCACCCCTCCCCACGCCCACCCGCATGTCAGGTCAACGTTCCATGTTTTTATTTACTTATCACGTTTCATTCCTCTAGAGGATTTTATACGTGGACCGTCTGTCTTATCGATATGCACATCTCGCACATATTGTCGATACGAATCACCGAGTCGATGCCAAAAAGCCTTTCAGGTTGTCTACCGGACTCCAGCAAGCTTCTTCAGAAGCCTACGCCAACGGGTGCCAACTACAGCCGAGGCAGTGGCTTTACAGCTAGCTAATCCAGTACTATGCTGTCAGAAGACGCTGACACAGGCGCTCTGTCTTCCGTGGCCAACGCTGACGTACAAACATTACTCACAGCATATGTCCCCCCTCCCCCTTAACCCAATGAACACGACACGCCGACCACGCCATAGCACGCCTCGCCGAGCGAGTGGCGTGAGAACGAGGAGTGTTAATAACCCCTGAATCACTTACAAAACCTGTAACTTCGCATAATTTCAACTTCTATGCAACATTTTTGGCCTGGTGACGAGTTGCCGAAAACGTCTGTTTGCCAAATAGACTTTTCAATTAAATGTTTCGTCGCCATGGCTTCCATCAAATTTATTCCAGAAAACAGTGTTTCAAACGAATATGAGTAATGTTAAAATGAACAAATGCCGCAAAAAGGAAAAAAATAGGAAAAAAACTAAAAAAAATAAGAATTAATGGACTGCTAATGCTGTTTTTCGAAGTCCCGACAAGTTGTCTCAATTCTAAGGTAGACGTTCATTTGAACCAATCAGATTAGGATGGACGCCAGAAGCACTCAGGGCGCAGCTCGACTACCGGTCCGAGGTCAGACATAGCCATCTTTGACGACGTTGTGGAGGATAACTTGGGCAGACCTTGGATAGAACAACACCATTAGGCCTGTGGTTTAGGAGACAAGCAGAAGTCCGTAAAAAGTTTGGTGCCGGCGGCTCCATACTGAGGTCAGCCTTCTTTTGCGCCTCCCAACCTCGTCTACCAAAGTTCTCACAGCCAGAGTACTGTCTCAGTCGCAGTTGTCGTTCATCGCCATCGCTTCTGCAAGCCGGTCTTTCAAAAACCTCCTCCATTACCCTCGGTCGAGATCGCGACTGGTCGGGGGCATCGCCAAAATGAATCATTTTCGGAGGCGCCTCGGTGTTGCGACTCCTGGCGCGATTATAGGCCCACATAGAGGGCTTGTTGTGACGCGTGATTATCAGACCTGGTCTGGACTGGGTCTTTCTCTTATCCACCTTGGAGGAACCAGCGAACTCCACCAGGGGTTTGAAAACTTCAACTGCCGTTTCTGGGCCAACGCTCTCCAAATAGAGGGTATCGGCCCCCTCTAGTTCTGATGGCGAGGTCGCTTTGAAATCTAGTCTGCTGTTCTTTAGATCCCCCAGCGCTTCCCTCTCCGATCGCACGGAAAATCCTCGGTATTCCGAGGAGTCTGTACTTCCGCTGCTCAACGGAAACAGCGTTCGTGCTTTCAGTTCACTGACCAGTGAAAGTCCTTGTCTCTGAACAGAATTTCTAACCCCGAGCATCTGTATATCGACTACTGGAGCGAAACCAGCCTTGACCAATGTTGGGAGTGTCTCGTCTTCAGGTCCACTCCCTGACCTTGAATCGAATGATGTCTCCGCCTCAGTGGTTGCTGCCGTTTCAAAGGGAGCGGCAGGGGGTGGTTGAGGTTTTTTTTTTGCTCAAAGTTGAGAGACTGCCAAAAAATGGGAATTTCCGGAGGCAAGCCGTCGTGTCGATTCCGGGCAAATAGCATGGCTTTTGATCCAAAAACTTCCTCGCTGGGCCGTTCAACTGAACCAGCCTTGACGGAGTTTCTCTGAAACATCCTCGCTTCACCTTCACACAATCGCTGTATCACCCTCAGAGCTTCCCGGTGTAAGTGAACGCTGTTCGTTAGTCTGCAGTCTAGCCTCGCAATCGAATTCACATGGCGTTATCGATTTTTTGCTTTGACGAGTAGGATTAAGACTGGGGAATTGAAGCGTCGCTGTGGTAGGCTTCAGGCAAATGACTGCGCTCCCAGATGAAGACCCCAAAACGGAATTGCCTCCGATAACAGGAGACCAGTTTAGCGAACCCAGTCAATTCCACACTTCATCGATGGCAGAACCACCACATGAGGTGGGGTCTAAGGAAGTGGCGAATGAGTTCAAGCTTGTGGCACCCCTATCGTGTCCGCATAATCACTACAATTCAAATGCTTTGGTTAAGCATGAATCTAGCGTGGATTTCTCTGTTTCACTACCAGCTGACCGCCTTCCCCCTAACATTTCTTTTCAGGTGACAGATCAGGTAGCCATATCGCCCTCAGGTGGTCCAATACCTTCGCAAGAGATGGTGATTCAGGCTATCTTAGAGACATCAGGAGTCACCAGACCAACTAATTTGGCCAAAGAATTTACACCCCAGTCAAAGGATACAGATGGAACCGACGGCGGATCCCAACAATCGGCCAAAAAACATAAACGAATACACCCCAACTTTGAAGAGGTCCCGACAACTATGTTGCCATCAGAGTACGTCACCAACTTCATCGTTGAAATACAGAGCGACACTTCAAACATGAAAGTCAAGCAGGCGGAGAAACAGGACCGAGAAGCCATCGATGACGCCTGCGCTCGAAAGTACTGTGACACTGACTTTGTCGGCCAGTCGGAAAAGGACCTGAAGGACTTTGCCAACGAAGACTACCACGAAACTCGAGCCCTTCTACCAGCTAATCCCCTCGAAGCTCTAGAGCGTATGAATGCTGATAATGGACAAGCCTTCCAGGTGAACGGCTGTGAAGCCTACTGCGATATCGACTTCACAGGCAGAGCATCGGTGACCCGTGAAGTGGGCGAGGGCTTCGCCAATGAGGGTCTAGGCGCCATACTTAATCATCAACCCAAATCTGCTGCTGACACACTATTTCCTCATGACGACATGTGTGAGAGGACCGACTCACCTCTCTGCACCGCTGAGATCAAGGTGGAAAATTTGCAAGTCAGGTTGAATGAAAATGGGTTCCCCACCTTTACACTGTTGACTCCCGGAGAACCAGGTGATGGGATTTCAGAAAAGACTATCACTCTTAATGCCAAACTCACGACGTCGGAGGCTTTTGCCAAGACCTTCTCCGCTTCTGTCAGTCCCGTCTTATCTGGCCTTTTGGGCAACCAGCCGCTGAACTTCTCGATAGGGGGTGCAGGCTCGGGTCTCTCAACGCCGGAGTACACGTCATCGAAGGTGCAGTGTCATTTAGATGCTGATGATCAGCTGCGCGCCAAGAAGGCTCAAAAATCCCCAAAGGCTGTAAAGACACATACGAAAATTGACAATTCACCACCTGCCGCTGTTCGACGGTCCCCAAGTGAGATTGAGGCAACTACCTGGTGTCAACCTGGTGGATGGGCCTGCTTTCCCATGTTCAAGCGAAAATGATGCTTTGCAGCTAATGCTCGATTAGGAGTTGACTTTTGTTCCTTTGTGTGCAACTGTGAGCTGAGAGGCTCATTCGTGTTTCAACTTCGACGAAAATATTCTGTTTCTGGCAGGGTATACCAGTTCGATGATTTTGGACTGCCTTCACGAAACATCTTGTTTTGTACTATGCTTTATCTTACTATCAAGAATGATAATTTTTGTGCTAAATCGTCTTCCAGAGGTTTTCTGAGCCGATGCATCAGGAAAGTCCCGCGAGACGAGTAGCTTTGGCGTCGATGGAGGATTTAACCTTCGCGGATTGGTTGCAGGTGAATGGATAAGATTGGCAGCCGCATAATCCAACCAAAACGTTTCGATGGTAGAGGGGCGCTCACCGATCATTTTTGCGGAACTCACTTTTCCCATTGTGCCTTACGGGCTCTCTCTCTCGAGCTCAACGAGCAACCGCACAGCGGCGCATGATATAGGCAAGAGAGCATTGCCGACAGCAGGATGAGTGAGTTCCGCAAAATCGATCGGTGGACGCCATTTATCGATGCACATTTCCGATCGCAACCGACAGAACAACGAGCCCGTGGCTCAGTGGATAGAGGAGACGAGTTTCGAGTCAAAAGGGCGCGTTAACGAGCCCCAGGCTTTGCACACTTCGGGATTAGGAGTGGCTGGCTGACGACGGCCAATAATCCAGAAACGGCAACTTGAGTCTCACTCATTTTTTTCGGGAATGCTCCATCTTTGACCCCTATTTTCGGATTCCGTCATAACTCAAAACTAATGGCTGTCCAAGTCCTCATGTTACCATTTCAACTGTTGGTTTTTACGACGTAACATATACGAAAAAAGTGAAGTTTGAGCCACCGCCGGTAAGAAAATTCAAAGGGTGCATCAGCCGAATGGCCGATACTCTTTGCTGTCCTGATCAGTCTGCACCTTTGCTTGTTGCGACAGTACATATATACATGGGTTTGTCTCCCTGGTGAGTCTTTATATCCAAAAATGCCGAGCCGACCCATGTTGTAAACTTCGATCTGGCGATTAGTTGACTTCCTTGGCAGATGAGGTGGTTGTCTTATCGTCTCCGGATAAGCTTACTGTCAGTCCTATCCTTGCCCCGTCCACAATAGTAATATAAGACTACGTAAGACTAAGAGAGAGAGAAATCACTCGTAGTGACGTTTGGAAATAGCGCCTAAATTGAGATTCGTTATGTCATCAAATTGTCTTTAACCTCGACTATCAACGCCTCCCTCAGTCGGTTTGGTGTCAACTCTCACCCGAGAGCTAGGATCCACCTGGTTCTCTCAGTCGGTATTTTTACGAAAGAATGAGCAGTTTTCATTCCGTTGGCCTGATGTGTCTGCAATCGCTATCACTGACCACCTGAGATTTTAGAAAATGGTGATGAGTCCTCCGATTGTCTCGTCCGGAATCGAATTATTGCTGATAGTCTATGGGTCAAGCCAAGTCCTCCGTTAAGACGTCCGCTGCGCATATGTGTGCGTCTTGGTTGTGCTCCTCGAGCTAAACGACACGCTTGAGTTTAAAGAAGTGGTAATAAGTCCACCGATTGCTTCCTCCGGAACTGAATTATTGGCTGGCAGAACCTGATTTCGTAGCCTTGCCTGATACGGGTTAGGTTTAGGGGTCAGGGGTAGAGTGTTTGAGGATTAGGGATTAGGGTAAGGGGTTGAGGTTAGGGACTAGGCTTAGGGGCCAGGGTACGCGGCAGGAATAGAGGTTATGGGTTGCTGTTAGGGGTCAGGGTTAAATACCCCATTACCACTGGTCCCGTATGAAAGGCGGCTGGGGCTTCTTTGTTGCTGAGAATCTACGGATCAAGCCAAGTCGACTTGTAGGCAAGAACTCAAGGACATTGCGCAGATATATACATCATGTTCGTACTTCTCGAGCTATCCGAGACGAGTTCCCACATTCTCTGTTTGACGCGATATCTATAGAAGTTAAACACCCCTCAAAGACCAAGTTACATAGATTTTGGTCGACTAGTTGGATTACAGAACTTAATGTGGGCACATTTCTGCATGTGTAAGTGCCTACCGGATCGAGCATAATCTAGCCGTGCTCGAATTCCGACAACACAGTTACTTTTAAGTCTGTGTTTTTGATCGGTTCGTCCAATTACAGTCAAAAGTTTGATTGTGTTCCTCACAAAATGTCGTAGTGGGGGAGAATACGCATCCCATTTAGGGTATGGTGGGCGTTGAATACGTAGATAACGCCCCATAAACCATCCGAATTTAGGCTGTCCAAGGTTTGTATGTGAGGTGGGCGCTGTGCTTTGCAACCTTGGTGCACAATTGAGCAGGCCATATTCAGGTTTCGGCTAGGGGTCCCCGTGAGGTTACAGTAACCTGGTGATGAAGGTGTGTATGCGGTCGTTCCTTTTTCTCCCTCAGGGCTACAAACCATTCATGAGTGATTGCTGCGAACGTTAATGGTATGAAGTTCATACATGAACTGTTGTTTCCAATCGACCGCTTAAATGACCGGTTAGGTGGCTTGAAAGGCTCCCAGACGTGGAGTGTCCCTGTTATGTGAAATCCTGATGCTTGTCGTGTCTTTGGCATGCGCAGACGAGGTTGCTAGCTATGTCAGCCACTGCGGCCATTCCCCGCAGTAGATAACTGGCCAAATCGGACAGTGGCTGCGGACTGAGAATGGAAAGATAGAGTGAGGTCAACAATTCAGCGTATTTTACTCACCATTAAGAATCTGACGCACTTAGAGTAATCACGGTGCGCCAAAGGTCGTGGCATGGAGGGTTGAAAAATGATGGGAAACTTGAACATCGAAGTTGGGCCAGTGAGTGGAGGGCGGCTGATTGGTAGACTTAGAGTTAAGCCGCAGTGGCTCCTTCTTAAGGTGGCCTTTATCGTACTCCCACGTGTGGCAGTCAAGTCAGGTGCGGCGGCAGAACGCCTAGGGTCAACTCCGGCCGCGCCAGCCATCTACCGTCCCTCCCACCTCCGGCCCTCTTGATTATGTCTTGACTACGGGCACAGATTAGGGAGGAGCAGAGAGTCCAGTAAATGCTGTGCAAATCGCGGGAAGATAAATCACGCACGAGTCGCCGTGCCTGTTCGCGACCTGCTGGGCAACAGTCGGCCACGAAGGCTGAACTGTCATTTATATTGTGAATGACGCGGATCCCTTTTTCGCACGGTCGTGTGTGACGCGTGTAGACGAACCGTTTGAACATGTCATCCACTGCGTTCCACCAATACCATCGATCGTCTTGAAACGGCTTCTCTCTCGAGACTGGCGAGTGAGGGGATGATGTGGTAGAAGCGACGCAAGTTTGTTCCATAATAAATTTATTCGCTTGTAAGTTCCCATTGCTGGACTCACTACGTTGTGAGCGTCGCCATTCGGGACGGCCCAAATTCCTCCTTAAAACACGCACCTCCCCTTCTGACAGGTTATAGTGCTTGGCAAGTCGTTTTGCAGGATCGGCGGAGCAGGCGTATCACACCGCACCATTTAAGTCTCAAACTAACAACTTCTGCCTCAGCAGACTACCCTCCATCCCCTACCAGTCTTGGGAAATTCATTGGCCCAAGGCCGCTACCAGCAGTTTGACCGTCCTGACTGTCGATATTCACTGTGTGCTCCATAGTACAGCGAAACCAGACACGGTGACATGCATGTGTGTGTGTGTGATGAGGGTGGACTTTCACTGCATCTTCCGCACGCTCTCCTCATACGACCCGAGTTCGGTGTTAACACATAGTTACGGTCGGACCCTCAGCTAGGCCTACTGCTACATTCCCTGGTCCTCGTGACCACAACCAACAGCAAAAGTGGGCGGGCTGTAGGGATTTCAGTTTGTGCGACGTGAACTGCTAACTGTGTCTGCCACCGCGTCCGGAATGTTGGCGTTTGTTATGGACATGCATTCCCGATAACGCCCGACGGAATCCAACGTGGCTCACGTGTTAATCCAGCACATCAACCGTATGACCCACTTTAGGCACACAGGACGCACAGGTGGTAGTCGGCCAACCATCTGCAGTACGTGGGCTAACTCATGCAATGTCAACAGAAATTCCGAAATGCGTTTCTGTTCCGAAATGACTAAATAAGATGGGGTTGTAAAACCAATCATCAAGCAGTATTATTCTTTACTTATTCAACTACCTCAGGATACCGGCTTCCGAACGAACTTCTTTCCGGCCGTAGGCAAGAATCGTACTCCATAAATAACGACTGCATAAGGAGTAGGCATTTGCTCATTGGTTTTTGATGTCCTTAAACAGTGAACGGTATTTCACGGAAAATATGCATAAAGATATTCAAAATTTTACTTATTCGTTAGAAAATGACGTCTTATTCCATTTTTTTACTCGAAAGAAGGGCATAATCCGATTTCGGAAAGGATTCTAATAGTGGAATTTTTAATACCGTGAAATGGCAGTTCCTAAAACGTCATGCCTCTGCATTTACGAATGTGACTTGTAAAGTTTACAATATGGCTCAAATCCACTGCTACATTTTATGAACCCGATATGGTCTTCTCTTAATACCGTAGAGAGATTCGTGGTTTTCCGTACACAGAAGATATATGGCTTGTGGTTTGGAAACACTGAATGCCACTGTAACGACCGGCGGGGATCTAAATTATTTGGGAATCGGAAAAGTTTTTGAAAACCGATTTATACCCTTCCGTCTAAAATAAACTTAGAAGAAGGTATACTTTTCCACCAAATGAGCGAAAGAGTGAATATTTTTATGCATGTTTTCCAGGAAATATGATTGTATGTTTAAGGGCATCGAAAATCAATAAGAAAAATGCATGCTACACAAGTTTTCATTTTTACAGAGTATAGTTTTCGCATGCAGCCGGGAAGAAGTTCGTTTGAGTGTCGGCATCCTGTGCCAACGGAATTGTTATAGAATTATGCTGCATGATGATTATTTTTATAACCCCTTCTTAGTTAGTCTTTTAGAAATGAAAACGCATTTCGGAATTTTGGTTAACATTTAATGAGGTAACCCACCTACTGTACGTACAAGTTCGAAGGTCAACTCTGAAGTATCCACCAGCACTCATGAACTGATCTTATGGAAGCAACTTTTGAAAAGGTGGTAACAATCGGGAGATGGTACCCAAAAAATCCTTTACTTATAAAGCATACATTTAACAGTGGACTCAAACGGCTTCAGGCTATATCAGCGGTTGCAGGTCTACTTTCACGCACTACTTGGAATTTCGGCGGCGGCCTAACATGGACTGGCCGAACAAACATCGCAGAAGGTTACATGGACGATGGTCGCTGTTACCTGACCTTCCCCATCATTACACATGTACACCTGATTATACGGCATACAGTTCTACCATCGGTTTCGATGATGTCCACCGTGTGCCCCACAGTTGCAGCAGCAATGGGAGCAGGGACGGTGACTTACGCAGGGGTTTATAGTGCCGGTAGACTTGCGTAGCATCTACCTACACTCCCTCCTCCTCCCTCGCCAGAGCCCGGTGTCAAGACAGTGTCAAGAAGACCGGAGACGAGAGAGGCCGCAGGTGGATGGCTCGGACGGATCCTCACCTTGACGTTCCACCACACCCCCTGGCCCACACAACAAATAACCAGGATTTCAACCAACACAAGAGAGATTTGTAGGCTGGCACGGCCGAAACCGCACCTGGGCGTGCCGCCAACGCCTGGCTCGGATCCCACACTGTGGTGGGAATGCCATAAAGGCCACATTAAAAAGGAGCCATTGCAGCCTGACTCTCAGACCGCCTCCGGTCAAGGAGGAGGTCCAAGATACCCCGTCAGTTGGCAACCTTCCAAGCCACGGCTTTTAGCGCACCGTGATAGCTTCAAGCGCGTCAGATTGTTTATAGTGAGGAGAAAGTGCGCTGAGTCGTCGACCTCACTCTCCCTTCCCATTCCCACACCCCAGCCACTGTCCGAGCCGGTCAGCAGACTGGAGTGGGGAATGGGCGCGGTGGCCGTCATGGTCGACTGACCATGACTGCGCGCGCCACGGCACGACCTGGCCCCCATACACACAACACCAGGATTTCACACAACGGGGGTTGAACGGCGTGTCTCTCACTTGCGTGAGAGTGCCGTGGAAGGTGCTGTTTGAGCCCGTCCGCAGCCCACCAGTCCGCCACTCCACACAACACACACACACACACAACGCGACGAACTGCGTGAACCGAGAACGGGCGTCAATCAGCAACCTTCCTATCCACGACGCTTGACGTGTCGGGATAGTCTCGGACTCAAGTCACCCGTGTAGCCGAAGCCGCATGGGGACCGAGTCGAGATGCGGTGGCAGGTGGGTGCATGAGGTGCGTGAGTGTTGATTTCTGGTGGGGTGATGGTGGTGGAGGTAGGGAGTGAGTGAATGTGTGGTGTGGCCGGCGGTTGCCTACCGCAGGTCGTCGTGGATGCGCATGTGGCCGAATAGGCCCATGCGATGTCTGAAGGTGCGAGGGCAGTGTGGGCAGTGGAGGCGAGTGCGGTGGGTGTAGGTTGGTGCTTCACGCACTGGTTCGCCGGTCTCTGTGCAATGGATTCGCAAGTGACCGACCAGGCCGATGTGTGAGGTGAAGGTACGGTCGCAGTGAGGGCAGGTGTAGTCCTGATCCTCATCCCTGGAGTCGGGGGAGGTGGTGGTAGTGTCGGTTGCTGTGCGCGGGACAGTCGCCTGAGCGGCCGCCGTTGGAGCAGTGGGCGAGGAGGAGGAGGAGGAGGAGAAGGAGGAGGAGGATGATGGAAGTGGTGGGTCAGAATAATTGTCAGGGTTAGTTGGCGGCGGAGAGGAGGAGGAAGAGGCAGGCGCGGGGACGATGGTTGGTGCCGTTCGAGAGGCGCAGTTAATCCGAAGATGTCCAACAAGTCCGATTCGAGCCCCGAATGTCCGTTGATATCGAGGACACGTTGGAAGCGGTTGTGCGGCGGCGTTGCTTACTGGGCGAAGTTGTGATTTGCGGGCTTCACGTTTCGCTTTGGCGGCAGCGATGCGGGTGGCTTCGTAGATCGCAGTGCCTGTCTTCACTGTCCTCCTCCAGGTCGGTCGATCAAGTGCGGCATACATTCGCATTATGGCATTCTATTACAAAACAAAATCACTTTTAAATAGGATAATTCTGCACCACATGGGACAGAAACAGTTCCTAGGCATCTGTCAAAGACATGGCATTGAGGCCAAATCAAAGACGATACTGTACTTCGTCAGTGTGAACCCACACAGCTCGACCACATACAGGGCCTCTCTCGTGGAGTTTCCTTTTCAGTCCACTCCAGTATGCCTCAATGGCATTGGTGTGCCGTCCGATGGTAGGGTCCTTGAAGTTCTCTGAGTGGTTAACAGAGAAATGTAGATAACCTTCTGAGGAAAGACGATTATACGCCTTCCACTCGTCCGCTACCAATATACTGCCTTTGGAGACCCATTTTGTAATAACGGAACGGAGAGCGGACCAACTTCGATCATTCACCTGTTCAAATAAGGCTTTCTGTCAGCTATTATCGTACATCCCGACCAGCCACCACCCATAAAACCCCCTATTAGCACATCTCCCGTAAGACAGGTTGCTTTTTTTAAGCGGATTTTTTTCTGGTGCTAGCTCCCGATTGTTACCGAAAAAGTCCTTTTTCTGTACAGATTCTTCTCGTATTTTGTCTTACACTGGGGGATCCCCCTGCCAGGAGCAATTCTGTCAGACGAGAGAGCGACTCTATGGCTGGAGAAAGATTTTATCACACGGATGTTTCTGAATCACATTCTCATCCACAACTATGTATAGCAAAACAGAAGAGCGGTGGTTGTAGAACGAGTTGCAGCACGACCACCTATGATGAATGCAAAAGATGTTAATTTTGACTGATTTGGAGGGATAAGTAGCAACTGCATCCCATAAGTACTGCAACTCTTCGGCGTCTACGGCTCTCTTCTGCTGCTGCTGCCCCTAACTATTTATTCGAGGTCAAGTCTGGATGGTCAGGCGAATATACTTCTCGCTCCAGCGATTTGGTCTCCTTCCTTCCAACGGCCGTTCCGACCTTATTCATAAGTACGTCTGGCTGTTAGCTGCGACGCCAACATACCTCATAACGAATGCGCAAATAAATTACAGTGGCGGGCATCCGACATGCACACCCTCTCAATCATATATCACCGGAAAGACAAGAACTTCGCAATTGCGTCTTTTAACTATAGAAAACTACGACGGTTCCCAATCGTACCCCCTGACGTTTTACCTAACAATTCGTTCTACGCGTCTTAGTCGCTTCAATTAAACCAGATGGCGAGCCTACTTGGGCGCCGGACCCTCGCGAACCAAAACGACCGTGCTAAATATGCCATGATCATTAGGCTGGAGACTCTATAGAGTCCCCAGAGAACCTAGAACAGGGTAAAATTGCAGTAGATGAGAAAATTATATGACTTAACGCCATCCTCCTCTCGCCATCCACATCAGTGGATTTATTGGGAAAGCGAAAAAGGGTAAGGATCTGGTGAAGGCGCTCAAGAATCTACGGCGTACAGGAAATGCCTACTTTACTTGTCTAAGTAGGTCTACAGTCCTGCAACCCAGATATTTCTGCTGGAACGTTTAGAACTTGGCACTGAAGCTAAATTCTCATTCGGGGAAGAGTATAACTAACAGCTTACTAGAGCCCCCATAGATTCCATTTTCCCTAGTTTACCCGAAGATGTTATTGCAAAGGCCTAGGCTGAGAGTGAGACCCCGACTACCGCAACCGTCAGACCCGGACGCGAATGGAAAGAAAGCAAGTGGAAGCCAGTGGGTTTTTTCTGCACAGAATATTTGGAAAGGGACCGGAAGGAGTTAGCAGCCGGACGAGGACACGTCCGTCGCTGGGATAGCGCCATCCCAAGTGTCCCTCAGGGAATTCATCAAAGCATCTTTAGACTGGGCACGTCCTTAAATCTGCTTGGTTGGTTAGAAAGCCCAGTGGGCGAAGGCCAGACTGCCCAGGTGCGTACGTTCAGACACTTGCGAGAGGCTCAGCATTGAGCCAGGAACTGGGGGTAAGGCCACTACAAACTTATGGACCAAATCGAAAACGACAACATCCTAACCGCAGTTGCGTCAACGTTCTGCTCCTTTCAAGAAGCACTTTTGGAGCCGGTGGATTGGATGCGAAGTACCTTGATACTCTTGGACCTTTGGCTCAGGGTTTTATAGAAGCAGGGTTTTGTTACAAAAAGTGTGAGGGTCGGAAAAGCTGTCCTGTTTGGTCAACAAGATGTCATTTTCGTACTATTACTGATTTCAGTTGGTGGTCAACATTTATTGGTAAGATATCGTTGTGTAGCCCTACCTCATGCACACAACACTTTTAGGGTTAGGGGTTAAAATTAGGGATAAGTACAACTATTTCTCAACCACTCAGTGTACAACGGCGCATTCCCAATATTTTTTCTTCTGCATACAACTACTGGACCTCGACGCCAGTGCGTTCCCCGGCCCCACCTGTATAAACTTCTATTACCACCGATCCTGTATTATAGGAGGCTCGAATTTGTTTACGTCAGGTGAGGCTACATAATTACATCTGTCCCATTTATCACTTTCGTACTATAATTGATTTAAGCAGGTGTGAGGCCACTTGGGGCTACTTTCAATTTGAGGTGCTTCACGGACTGCTACGATTGTGCTTCATAAATACGTTAGAGTTAAAAAGTTGGACAGAGTTGGCAGACGACGAGGGCTCGTCTGGAGCCGGGAGATCGTCATCCCAAGTGCCCGAGGGAATGCGTCACATCGTCTTAAGCCAGAAAAAGTCCGACTCGGCCTTAAATTTGATTGGCCAGTTAGAAAGCCCAGTGGACGGAGGCCAGACTGCCCAGGTGCTCACATGCAAACACTCGTGAGAGGCCCAGCGTTGCAACAAAGGACCAGAGTCGGCGACTACAAAGTAATCTGCGACTCTGTTAATTAAAAATAAGTTACGGCTGCAGACTGTACATTCGTGATGGTTAAATGTGCGCATATTTAAATATCAGAGGAAAGGCATCAGAGACATAATCGAGTGCTCATTCATGACGCGGATGGTCCGCAGACGGGGTCTAGCACATGGGTTATAAGCACTTCATCTAACTGATGCTCATAAGTGCCTTGCAACCCATACGGAGCTTGTTTGCTTTAGAAAGCCAATGGATCGCTGCAAGTTCATTCCTAAATGAATAAACATCCGAATGACGGGTGTCGAGGCACTGATGAACTTCGGTTCGGGAAATACCTATGATCCATCTGCTAGAGCTCGTCTCTGAACTATCTCCACTACGCACAAGCGCATCTTTGTGTTTTTGGTTTCAGCTGAAGCTCAGGGTCATAATTTACTGAATAAGGGAGATTACTCTAAGCATGGATGGCGGAACACGCAGCCGCGGTGAGGAGGAAAGACGCCAGCTATAAGCTGGCGGCTCCTTCCCAGAAACCGGGCAATATTTTCAAGTCGCAATAGTTTCACCAGGCGCGTCTGTGTGCATGCTTGTGCTTCTGGTCCCAGCTGCTGATCAGGGTTATGGCTGACTGAGTGAGGACAAAATAAGCCCGAAACAGTACTGTATCAATCTACCCGCATTCTCTGCCGTCCCTCCTCTCTGTTAGTATGACTTGGCCGACTTCCGTCTAGAAAGTAATTGCCTGTTCGTGAACTTTGCCACACATACGAAAATTGTTTACTTCGGAAAGCCAATGGATGGGTGTGCACCCATTCCTGATTGAATAAATACCCAATCTGCAGCGACAGTGAATGATATGTGGCGAGGCACTGATGAACTTCATTTCGATAAAGTGCTTATGACCCATCTGGTAGAGCCCAGTGGTGGATCAAATGCGCCAAGTACGTCTGTGCGCATGTTTGTGTTTCTGGTCTCAGCTGCTGGTGGTCAGGTTTATGATTGGCTGAATGAAAGCACAGTAAGCCTGAAACAGTGCTGTATCAATCTACCCGCATTTTTTGTCGCTTCTCCCCTCTGCTATTTGTGTGCCTCTGCTATGTCATGAACAGCCTGGTGTGCGCTGACGGTTCTCCGGTACCTGATATTTCGGCGGTAGATGGGTAAGTGTTGTGGTTGGGGTTTGAAGAAGTATAAATGTGCGGACTTGCAAACCACTTGCTTTGGTCATACGATGGTATCCATCTCATTATGTGTTTACGTGGCACGCAAACAAAAACGGCAGATATTTTCGAGATGAACCGAGAGATATCCCCGGACGCGGATGGCCGAACACGCAGCATCGCTGAGGAGGAAAGACGCCAACTCGCAGTTGGCGGCTCCTGCCAGGACAACGGACAATATTTTTGGGTTGTAAGAGGCTGAAATCCTTGCAGGAGCTGACAACTGCGTGATCCTCGAGCTACTCAAACCACGCTTTTTAGGCCTGCAATCTATCGACAAGCCCAATGAGCCCGGTACCGTAGTTGGCGCTGCGACATCCTCTGAGCAGGGAAATCTGTCGCGTATGGAGGACGCGAACGACCAACAATCGCATTGACAGCGGACAAAATTGCCGATCAATCAGCACGCCAACATCCAACACGCATTATAAGATTAAAGCAATTAACGACTCGGACGCGGACAGACGAGCGGTGATCGCGAGAGCTGTTAATTAAAGTGCACACGTGGTCCCACCGCAGCTACGTATTATTAATACTGCAGTCTTTCCGCCTCCACTGCCATCTTCTATGGCCGTCTCTGATGATAGGTTCGAGCGAGAATACGAAGCGTGATACCAATAAAATTCTTGCTCCACTGACCGTCTCTTCTTTTTTTGAGCTGCTTCCTGTAATTCATTTGCCCGTTTCTATGGGCAAAAATATTCATTTCAGAATCATCTTAAAATAATTTACAGGAGTACGGACGTCCCACACCCGTACATACAGTATAATCAAAGTTTGAGATGCCCCGATAAGATAAAGCCGGTAAACTAAATGATCAGGCGATCGGCACAACAATCAAGTCATTACGTTGGATTTTAGTTGTTGAACTAGCTGTCTTGGGCATATATCCGAACTCACAAAATAAATAACAGGGCGGGTCATGTGAACGCCATTCTA